CTACCTTTTAGTTTTGTTGAAAAAGAAGGCTTTAAGAAGTTTATGAGTAAAATCCAACCTTTGTTTCATATTCCTTCTCGTAGAACCATAACAAGGGATTGTTATGAAGTTTATGGTGAATTGAGAATAAATTTGAAACAATCTTTAAGAGAAGTACAACCAAGAATTTGTCTCACAACAGACACATGGACTTCAGTGCAAAGAATCAATTATATGTGTTTGACTGCTCACTTTATTGATAGGGATTGGGTGCTTCATAAAAGAATATTGAATTTTTGTCCTATCACTAGTCATAAAGGTGAGCATTTGGCTGAGTCTATTAGTAATTGTTTACTTGATTGGAAGTTGGATAACGTTTTTACTGTTACGGTTGATAATGCTTCTTCAAATGATGTGGCAGTTTTAGAGTTGTCCAAAAAATTAGATATGTGGGGAACTAATTTGATGGAAGGTAAGCATCTCCATGTGAGATGTATGGCTCACATACTTAATCTAATTATGCAAGATGGTTTGAAAGAAATTGGTCATTCTATCAAAAAGGTGAGACAAATGGTGAAATATGTTAGATCATCTTCTTCAAGGGCAAGAAATTTCTTGAAATGTGTTGAAATGCAAAAGATAGAATGTGATAAGATGTTGTCTTTAGATGTGCCTACTAGGTGGAATTCCACCTATTTGATGTTAGACACAGCAGAAAAGTTTGAGAAGGCTTTTGAGAGGTTTGATCTTTATGATGGTAATTTTAATTCTTTTCTTGCTACTGATGTTTGTGAAGATGGAAGTATCGCAGGGTCAATTCAATATGAAGATTGGGCTAATGTGAGGAATGTCACAAAGTTTCTTGAAAAATTTTATGAACTCACTTTGAAAGTTTCAGGTTCACGGTATGTTACTTGTAATGTTCATTTTGAAGATATATGTGAACTTGATGCTTATTTGAAATTATGTATAGCAAGTGATGACCTTGATTTGAGTAAAATGGCTTTGGGAATGAAAGAAAAATTCAAGAAATATTGGGGGACTCCTGAAAAAATGAACAAAATGATTTTTATTGCTTCTGTTTTGGATCCTTGCAATAAATTTGTCTATGTTAGTTTTGCTCTTGAAGAATTACTTGGGAAAGAAACGGGAAATGTAGTGAATATGAAAGTAGAGGCTTACTTGAGGGATTTGTTTGCGATATATGTAAGTAAGTATGGAAAAGGTTCCAAAAGTCAACCATCTTCATTTGACTCATCTGATTCTTCTGGTAGTGGTATTTCTCAAAATATGTTCAAAAATTCTTTGAGAACTAAGTTGCACATGAAGAAACAAAAGAATGATTCTGGAAGTTTAGGTGTTAAATCTGAGTTGGATAAATATCTTCTTGAAGACCAAGAACCTGAATCTGAAGATTTTGATATTTTGAGTTGGTGGAAAGTTAATTCTCCTAGATTTCCAGTACTTTCACAGTTGGCTCGAGATGTATTGGCTATTCCTATGTCGAGTGTGGCATCGGAATGTGCATTTAGCAACGGTGGTCGAATTCTAGAATGACTCCCAAATGTGTGCAATGTCTTATTTGTGTCCAAGATTGGCTTAGACAAGAAACCAAGCCTATTTGTGTTGAAGAAAGTTTGGAGTTTCTTGAAAAAATTGAACTTGTTAAGACTTTTTATTTTTTATTTATTTATGAAAAAAATAAAATACTTATTGTGTTGTATCTTGTATGACATGTTTCTTTTTATTAATTGTAGAGATGGCAAATAGTGGAAGAAGCTCTTCCATTGTTGATCTATGATTGACTTGCAAGCGGTGAGTTTAATACATCATTTATTTAATCATATCATTTTTTAATCTTAAAAGTAGTATTCTAAGTTTCTAATATTTGATTTTATCTTAAAAGGTCCAAGGGTCAAGACAATGAAGAAATAATTTTGTTGGCACGTGACACTTGAAAGTTGAAAGCGATCTCATGGAAGAAAGTCAAGAAACTCATTATTGTTGTTTGTTATTGTTGAAAGTAATCTCATGGAAAGAAGTCAAGAAGTTCAAAATACATTGTTTGTTGCTTATTATTGTTTATTATGAGTTAATGAAAGACTTTATTGTTACTTGTTAGATTCTTATTATATTGTATTTGTGAAGACATTAACTACAAATCTACAATGCAACTTTTGTTTTAGTGTCATTGTGAATTTAAAATTTGCGGTGTTAATGCCTAATGACATATTGAAGATTTGAATCATTGATAATTGATATATTAAAATTTGGTAGTAAATTAGTAATGCTTTTCTTTGATTTATTGTCTATTTTTACTTTTTAGCCCATTAAGCTGAAAAATCAAACAAAAAATTGTTAAGTTTAAAATTTTAAAAAGCCCACTAAACAGGCCCATTAAAAACCGAAATAAAAAAATCGAACCGAATTAATAAAAATCGAACCGAATTAACAAAAATCGAACCGATTTCGGTTCGGTATTCGGTACGTAATTTTAAAAAACCAAAAACCGAAAAAAACCCCGAACCGAACCGAAATACCGAATGTCCACCCCTAATATCTATGGACATCCAAGGGGGAGTGTTATAAATACATTGAATAAATGGATGGTCCATAAAGTTAGTATATGAACAACTATTCATATTCACTAGGTTTCATGAACCTTTTTGGATAATAATATATCTACTTATTATGATACTTAATATGGTGACCATTGGAGTGATTTTCATATATAAATAGGATTGTTCATTCATTATTGTATAATATACATATGAAACTTATATGTACTTGAATAAAAAGAAAGTCTTCTCCTACATCTACTTCTCTTGTCTTTCTCTTGTCTTCTTCTTATAATCTTGATTTTATAACACTTCCTTCTTTTTAAAATTAATCCATTTGTGATTCAGATGGTTGGTGAAAGAAAAGACAAATTAAATAATTAGTGTGGACCAATAAAAATATTTCACAAATTATTTTTTTTTAAAAAAAAAGTTAAGGTCATGTACCACCACTGCTTTAATTTGAGAGTAAATAAATATCTTAAACTAAATCAGGTACAATTCATTAAACTTTTCCTTTAAAAGAGTGTACAGAGGTATTCTTCCTTTTTGTCGGTTGGAATATGATTTTATATCATGATTTAAAATTATATTAATTCAAAGTTAAAATTATATTTAATATATAATTAAAAAGTTAGTTTGTATGTTTTGTTATAAAAATTTGTGAAAATAATCAAAACTCTCTCAATTTTTAAGGTATTGGATTTAAAAAAATTGATATAATCGATTGAATTGTATCATACTAAATTTAATATCAGATTATTTTAATAAAATTGTAGATTTTTATATGAATTTATAACTATATTGAATAAGTAGATAACTTTTGATTTTACTAATGGTATTGAATAATGTATATGTGATATATATTTTATGTATTATGTTTTAAAGTAATGATTTTTTTTTCTGGCTTAGAGAGATGAAAATGACTACAAGCCAATAGGTGCATCTTGAGTAGTAAATTATAAGGTAGTTTATCGTTCTTAAATAGCAAAATATTAAGTATATTTCCTTTTGTATGGTTTAAAAATTTTATTGGATATGTAATTTTAATTGTCTTTTTATTCATTCGATTTAGATTATTTGTCTTTATTTTACGCTATTGTAAAATATGATATAATATCTCAAATGGTCTCTCAATTATGTAGTATTTTTTCAAAAGTCACTAAATTTTGATTTTTAACTTAAAAATTACTTAATGTATAATAACATGAAATTTTTGCTTAAAACCTAAATATTAAAAACTAAACAAATATTCATTTAATAACTCGACTCGACCAACTAAAAATATAATAGTGACCTTTTTAATCTTATCCTTTTTCCCAAAATTATTCTCTTATCAGACTTCTCTTTTCTGTTTTTTTTTTTTAAAAAAAAAACTTTAAAATGCAATTATGTAGTTTGGTGATGGACCTTGGAGATCAAGAAGGGTCCTTTGGGGTTTATTTCCTAAATATTTGTTTTTAGTCTATTTGTGTAATAGACAATTATAAATAGATGTCTTGAGTCATTTTATTATATAGATTATTTTGAGATGAAGAATTGAGATATTAATTGGTATCTTGTAGATAGTGGAATCCTCTATTATAGAGTAGCTTGGTGTAGCTAATAGGTGAATTTTCATTGGTAATTGAAAAATCATGTTTATGTCACTCATTAGTAGATTTCAAATTGAATTCTCTTTTCTATAGAATTCAAGTTTCTTTCTTTTTTTGGTTAATTAAGGATTTAATTAGTCATTCTTTATTCTTTTTTTATCTCCTTATTTCTCCCTATATTTTATTTCTTTTTTTAAGTCTTTTTCAATTGGATTTGCTTAATTAAAATCATATTTTTTTATTTTCACGTTGATTTGATTTTGTATATTCATAATTATTTACAAAAATATACAAAATATTTGGTGGAATCTTAATGTTCTTATTAAGGGGTGCAAAGGAGATAAATTATTGTGGGGGATTCGAGAGTTAATTATTGTAAATAAAAGTAAAAAGAAAAGAAAGTTGTGCAGAAAAAATTAGTGAAAATTTACAATTCTAACGAATTGCTAACATGAAACTAATATAACGGGCGTCTAAATATGATATACGGTTCTCCAGTTGACATTAATTTCAATAAAGATCAGAAAAATATCACACGAACTCCGTAAAACTATAATGCTAAACAACATTAATTGAACAAGATTAAAAAAATAATTTTATTCATTTTTCCTTTAAGATAAAAAAACGTAAGGAAAAAAAATACGAACATAATTCGCTTAAGAAGAATCTACCTTATTGAAGTTCATACATCATGCCCGATTGAATTAACTTATTTTAGACATTTTAAAACACTTATAGTAATATTTTTTATATTTCAAAACTAAAATAACAAAAACAAATAGAAAATCAAAAAAATTAAAGTACTACAACCCATAATTTTATTTTATTTTTTTCAGTACAAATGTGGGCAGAGTGAAAAGAAAAAGGAGGAGTGGCCCATATTTTTGCATTTGCTCACACCGTCTCAATTCATCATTATTTTTAGTCGCTTCTCCTTTGTCTCCTCCATTGTTCATCATCTCCTCTCTTCAGGTAAATCTCGATTTTAATCTTGATATTGAATTCAAATTCCGATGTATTAATGGATTCTCTTTGATTATTAGATCTGTGGTTTGATTATTTGTTCAATTCTAGGTTTTATATATCTGATTTGGTGATTTTATTAGTTCATGGTTTGGATAGAGTTTTTTTTTTCAGAATTTGTTGCATCGTTGTGAAGTTGAGTGTATAGTGAAGTTTAAGGAATTGTGATTAAGGTAAACAAATGTGATTTGGAGGGATTTTACTTGAGGTGCTATCCCTTTTAATTTCTTCAACTTTTAACAATTGTTATATTACTATATAACATTAAATTGATTGAAAAATTGGTATAAGATGTAGTTTTTTGATTTCTGTTAATGTTTGTTGTCTTTCCTTTGGGGCATGTTATCATTGTTAAGTTTCTGCATTTGGAAGTAGTGGCAGGCCTACTGGCCTAGGGTTTTGAAGTCACGGGTGCTCGCGGGGAAGAGATTCGTAGGAGGAGGAAAAGAGTGAGTTCTGTTGTGATGTGAGACTAGACTAAAGTTCTATTTGTTAGAAAGGAAAAAGAATATATTCTATTTTGGGAACAAGGTTGAGAAATTGGGTAAGAGAGTATAAAAAGGAAAAGAGTGAACGTAAAAAAGAAAGCAAATAAATAACATGAAAGGAAAAAAATGCATCGGCTTATTTAAGAGGAGAAGGGTAGAGGGTAGACTTATTATCCACTGAGTTTTGGACCTTGCGTAACTGGCCTTTGTGATTTATCAGTTATTAAAAAGGAAATTCATCATCTTATAAGAGAATAACTGTGTGAAGCTATTCAGCACTCACCACAAGCATTTTGTAGCCCAGCACCTTGTACTTGATCAGCTAGCACATCTGTCTTTCACAATTCTGAGTGCTCACTCTATTTTTATATAGCTTTGTTCTTGATCAATTACACGAATATATTGAATGTGATAAATATTCATGGGTGCTCGAGCACCCACAAGGATCTAGTTGGGTCTACCCCTACATTGCAGCGTCATTACCAAGTGAAGCGCAAGGATGTTACAATCTGAAATTTACTGTTCATGTATAATAATCTTAGAGTTATATTCTTATGATATTATGCTTATTGGGAATAGAGTATATAATTACCTAGCAAGAAGTGTTCTGACAACTTTGAAGAAATTGCGTAGTCATTTCTGCTCTTACTCTCATCTAGAGATATCATTCTACCTCTATGTATTACAACAATGGCTACAGGAGGAAACAAGTCTAAGCCAAATTGAAGTTAGGCTCAAACCATTGTTCTTTGTTTATTTTGTTTTTGATCAGTAGGCTCAAAACTTTATTTTATGATGACATTAGTTAGTAGATATTTAACTTGCGTGTCAAGAGGAAGATTTAGAGGGCTCTTGCTTTATTTTGTTCCTTTTCTTTTTGTTGTTTGTTTGTTTGTTTGTTTTAAGGGGTTGTTCATAGACCTACTTTGACATGGGTTTCTTGTCAGACAAATAGCTTGAAATTGATCATCTTCAGAAACTTTTAGCAATTTATATTCACTAAGGACGATAACAGAGAATGGTCAAAAGGTTAGTTCCATTTGTTTGTTTGTTCATTTAAAATAATTTTCCCATCGACACAAATGACCAATCAAAATGGCCTTCCCACCCTTCCTCAACTGTTGTTTTTGGTTGACCAGATATGGAGCGTTTTGAAGCAGGAATTATACCATGTTGCAGTGCCTAGAGGGGATCAAGCATTTAGGTGCCTCTCTGTCTAAATGTTGTGATCTGGACAGACAATCAACAGCCTTTGAAGATCCAGAGATCCTTGCACGGGAGACAGTTTGTATGCTATTGGAACACATCTATTAACATTTAGTTTCTGCTATTTGAAAGCATAGAAAGAAAGATGAACCAAAAGCAATGCTTGTCTGGTTGCAAGTTTGTCTTTTTTATGATGGTGTCATCTGAAAATCTGTATTTGCATTTTGAAGATTGTGTTCTTTTAGATTGAAAGCAAAACTTGATTTATTTTTGCATAATTCGTTATGTTGTTTTCGATGTCATACTCTGTCATAAAGGTATTGGGGCAAGGAGTTGGAATATACAAATTTGATATATGAGTGCCCTAATTTATATTGTTAGTCATATTGACTTTCAACTAACATAAATAATGTTATAAACCTATATGATCTCATTCTTGTTGCAGTTAGCGTCAGTGAGATTGAAGCTCTCTATGAGCTTTTTAAGAAGATTAGCAGTGCAGTGGTTGATGATGGGCTGATCAACAAGGTTTGTGTTTCATCCTTTGTTAACTACAACTTTGGGAAATAGCACCATTGTGTTTAAGATATAGGTATTCTAGCAGTTAAACTCTACTTTGGGTTTCTTGCATGAATCTTTATTCAATCTTGTGTCCAAAGGCATTGATTTTTTTGGCTATTACTAAACTGTAGGAAGAATTTCAATTGGCGCTATTCAAGACGAACAAAAAGGAAAGTCTGTTTGCAGATAGGGTATGTTCTCCTTGCTAACTACATTAATCTTTTCATTTTGCTTTGGTTATTACAAATTTTGGTAGCGCGAAGGAGGTTGCTTCCTGCATATAAGATCAACTAGTGATATCATTAAAATCACAATTACTATTTCTTGAACAGATGAAGTTGCAGTAGTAGTTCTTTGAATGGGTTATTTCTATAAGGATTCAAGTATATTAAGCATCAATTTACTTGTTCTATCACTATGTATAATACATTATTTGAGTTTTAAGGTTTAAAGATAAATAGCTCAGCGTTTTATCTCTTCCTACTTGAACTTATTTAATTGTAGGTATTTGACTTATTTGACACAAAGCACAATGGAATCTTGGGTTTTGAGGAGTTTGCTCGTGCCCTCTCTGTTTTCCATCCAAATGCTCCGATCGATGATAAGATTGAGTGTATGCAAGTAGCTTAACTATGTCAATAGTGTTGCTTTGTGTAATCCTGCTCCTAATGGTATTGCTATTGTAGTTTCTTTTCAGCTATACGATCTCAAGCAACAAGGCTTCATTGAGAGGCAAGAGGTAAGCTTATCTCTCATAAGGTGAAACATTTACTTTCACTTATGAAAGCAAATCTGTTGTAATCTTTTGATCATGTTATGTTTTTCTACTTTTTAGATGCTCTAGTCAGTAGCTCTGGTTAGGGTTAACTCAACATGTCTTGGATATTTTATTTTACATTTGATGCATTTCCAGGAATGCTTGACATGATAATAGTTTGGTCTCTATGCAGGTGAAGCAAATGGTGGTTGCTACCCTTGCTGAATCTGGTATGAATCTGTCAGACGATGTTATTGAGAGCATAATCGATAAGGTGCTTCACCAATCTACATTTAGATACCTCTGTTAGTATATCTTTCATTTTGAATTCAAGGAGTAGCTCTCCTGTTTACATGTACACTGAGGCAGTAGTACTTCTGTTTCTTGGTTGTCTCCTTTTCTATCTATCTTTGTTAGTTTAGTTCCGCTGGAGTTTGTCATTTTCAAGGATGATTTTTTGGTGAGTTGGACCTACAGGAAAAGAAGCACCACCATTCTGTGTGGTATCTTCAACGATGATGTCTTGATAATGGACCTAAAGGAAATAAAGCGCCCCTAGTTTCTAGTGTGTAACATAACATGAAAACATAGTTTTTTAGGAGCGAATTCTTTCTTCTTATGGTATGGGTAATTAGTTGATCGGCTACGGATAGAAGAGATCACGTGGAGGAGACTTTAACAACCATTTTGGACAGGCAGGTTCACAAATTGAGGTCGAAAGAGCTTTCTTTGGTTAAAGTGTTGTGGAGGAATCATCCATAGAGGATGCAACTTCAGAGATCCAGGAATGCAGCTCACAGCCGTTTGAAACATCATGTATACTTTTTACTCCGTTCAAGGACGAACGAGAGCTTAAGTGGCAGAGAATGTAATAACCTTATATTATATATATATATATAAAATTTATGAGATGCAGAATTATTAAGCTGTCAGTGGGCCTAATTTACTATTTTACTTGCTAGTTGGGTAATGAAGTAATTTGGACAATAAATACTAGTGAAAAAGGGGGCTAGGCACACATCTTTCCTTTTTTGCCTACATATTAGAACCTAGGGTGAAGAGAAAGAGTAAAAGAGGATTTGGTTAATTAGCTAATGCATAGAAATAGAGGGCTTTGGAAGCAGCCAATGGTGTATTGTAACGGGAAATACAATTGTTACCATTTCAATTTGGTTAACTTATCCCTTGGACGGAGAGTTATTGTGGAAAGAAATCCTAGTATCAGGTGTATATACACATATACTCTCAACCACCAATGTAACTTGAAAATGGCATGGACCCGTCGACAAACTTAATCACCTTTCTCCCTATCGGTAGGGACCAAATGAAGTGCACAACGAGCCTGATCAGTGAGTGAATGTAGCATCATACTCACCCACATTCATTCTCTACTCAAACTGTTGCTGCCTATCCTCACACAGACTCTGTGGAATTAACTAATCCATGAATAAGGCCACAAATTCGCTCCAAGTGAGCAGTGGACATCCAGCTATGCCAGATCACAGAAAGGCAGCAACGCTGCCACATGTGAATCTCTGATTCCCATAGTAAGAAGGTTCTTCTCTCTCAACTTCTGGGCTGTTATAGTAAACGGAGTGTTATCAAACTCTGGAGGAAAGAATTTCATAAAGACCTCATCTTCCTCAGTCCTCACATGATCATCACCAGCAGCAGTAGAAGGTCCTGTTACACCTCGCATTATCACAAATTGGGGAGTACAATAGGAATAGGAAGCACAGTCTCAATAGAATATCCTACGCCTCAAGTACCGCAGGCTGTGCTACTCTAGCTCGCCCACCAGTCATGGGCTTACATTCAATAGACCTGACAGCCATGGTCTAGTGTGAGCTCTCGGCCTACCACATGCCCTAGTCATAGCTTGTACCAATGGTGCCTCCTCTAGTTCTCTCTTGGACGATCTTGTTCTCATAATGCATGATGAAGACATTTAGGATTAGATCTTAATTCGTACTCTTCTACCGCAGGAGATAGAAATGAATGAAGGGGAACTTCCCTAAAATGCCCCTATAGCTTCCTGTTTTTTGAACATAGTTGACTTCATACCCATAAAGAAGACACTGGTCTTAAGCCACGGGAGTATAAAGACTAAATTTTGATACCAAGTTCTCGATTTTATAAGTTCAAATCATTAACTTAATCATTAGTTCTCAAGTCATTGCCAAGACCTAATGCTAACTGTATCATTTCAATTCAATTAAATACACTATTGTTGGATTAAAAAAGAAACTAATATATATACCTAATACTTGGATTTTCTCCACAATTGCTCCCCAAGCAAATAACATTTTTTTTTATAACCGAGAAATCCGTCTGTAACCCGCCCTTTGGACCAATTACAACCTTCTAAACTCGGTGGATAATGGGCCCAGCTCTCTACCCTTCTCCACTTAATACCAGGCTTCACTTTGCGTGGTGTGGGGCTTGAACCTGCGACCTAAGCCACAAATCCTCCACCTTTTGCCACTCGAGCTAGGCCTTGGGGGCCATGTGAATAACATGTTAACCAAATTAAAATGGTAGCAATTGTATTTCCCCTTCCTCTGGCTGCTTCGAAAGCCTTCCCTCTCTATGCTTTAGCTAATGAATTGAGTCCTCTATTAGGTGCCGTTTGGCCATAAATATTTCAAGTGTATTTAGGAAAAAACTTGGGAAATAGTGTTTGGCCTTGCAACTTGCCATTATTTGGAAAATTTTTGGCGAACTATTCAAATTACCAAATACTAGGAAAAACTAGTATTTGGGGCAAATTCTAGAAAAAACTAGTATTTGGGCCAAATTTATTATATGGGAAATTTTAAGATTACCCCAAACTTTTGTCCTCATATCCAAGTATGGAAATTTTAAAAATTACGCCCAACTTTTGTTTATTTAGAGATGGATAAACAGTTACTAAGATTTCTTTAAATCTGCCGGGGTTAAGTTTAAGTGGTTAAGGTCTAGGGACTTGTGACCTAGGTCACAATTTGTGCCACGTGTCATGCGAATTAAACCTAGAATTTAAGTGGAGAAGAGTAGAGGGGCATACTCATTATCTACGAATTTTGAAGGTTGTGGTAGGTTCTAAGGGTTTGGCTCGAATGGATTTCTTGGTCATTAAAAAGAAGAATTCATTAAAACAATACAAATAACTGGTAGGGATCTAGGAAAACTATGGACAGATCCATTGATAGATCAGAGATTTGTCTGAGTAAACTTTCCTGATTTCCACAATGTTTTATTTAATCGGCAGGCATTAATTGATGAATGCACTGGATATGTTGTTTTTGTTGCATACTTGCAATAATTGTTGTTTGCAGATTGAATGAATAAGCGGAAGGTAAATTTTAGGAGAGATTCTTTGAATGTTAGATTGAAAGAAAAGCACACTAACTGAGGAGCAAAGACAACCCCATTTAAACATGATATGCTTAGTTGTGCTAAGAATGGTAAATGATCAATTAAGTCCTAGAATACTAGTAAGAAGATTGTTGAATGTAAAAGATAGCTGGCCATCAATTAACTCCTAGAATACTATTAGACATTTGATTTGCTGTTTATAAAACTGATATATATATATATATATATATATATATATATATATATAACAATTTGATATAAAATAAATATTGTTTGCTATATGAAGGTCATTTTGTCCTTTAAGTAGTTTTAATTGATGTATTATTAATACTCACATTCTTATTTCAGATGCTATTTTGCACAAAACAGTACGTAGATACCCGCATAACTTAGATGTCTATTAGTTATGCAAAAAAGGAAAACATGAACCAATTAGATCCCGACATGGGGATTATTTCTTCCCATTTCGTAACCAGACGACAACTAATTTTACACATGTTGCAATTGAAATACAAACGTGATGTAAACATTTATTGTGCACTTCTTGAGTTCTTTCAAATCTAATGTGAATCAAGGTCCTCTTTTCCTATATATATTAGCACCTTCTTGGTGCATATCTATGAAATATTACTTGTAACACACAGACAGAAATGGGAGAAAGAGAAGGCATGGAATTTTCTGCAATGTGGTAGGGATTTGCTCATATTTTTGCATTGTGTTTTGGTCAAAATTGAATTATATAATATGCAAATGGATCTGGTTGCTTATCATATTTATTTCTAGTTCATCTTTCTGTCCCCAGTTTTTATTCTGATGGTCGATGTTTTCTCGTGAATTTCTGTTTTAACTAATGTTTCTCTTCTTCGTCAGACTTTTGAAGAAGCTGATACTAAACATGATGGAAAGATTGACAAGGAGGAATGGAGAAATTTGGTCTTGCAACATCCTTCACTTTTGAAGAACATGACCCTTCAGTATCTCAAGTAAGTGGCATTTTGAAACTCGACAGTAGTCCATATATTATCATGTTTTCAAATTGGTGATATTGTTCATGGCGTTGATTGACTCAATAATATTCCTCATTCAAACAGGGACATTACGACTACATTCCCAAGCTTTGTCTTTCATTCGAGAGTTGAGGATACCTGATTTGGCATATACAAGCTGGAGTTGTTTAGGGAACTACCTTTACCATCTTTCTTTCCTGTTATGTTTTTGGAAAAACTAGTCAGTTTATGGATGTGGATGTCTGGATAACTGTTTGTTGCTGCCCTGTTTCAAAATTTGAATATTTACTTGATTTGTTATTCATTTCGAGTGTAGTGGTTCTGTATTTTGTTGCGCTAGTAATAATGTCTGATTTCCCCTTCAGTTTTGTTGTCTATGCTTGTAGTTGGCTTTCAGTTCATGTTGGCTTCAGTAAGATTTTTTTCTTTTTTCTTTTAGGTCTTTAGATTTGTGCAAGTATTTTTATTTATTGTTATTGAGAAAAAAGAATTTATTATATTAATGTAGATTGGTAACGTGTTGTCCGTGAAACTGGTCATATCTATAAGCTTTTCAGTTTATAGACATTAAAGTGTCGAAATCTTTAGGATCTGAAGTTTCGTGACTGCCAACCAGCCATTGACTTGTAATCGTTGGTACTGATAACAATAGCGTTTGCTCTCCTCATATTTGTATATCTTCTCTTCGAATTCTGTTACTATTTGTGTTCGACGATCTCTTGTTAGAGAAGTAAATGATTTTACTGTACATTCTTGTTTATGTAATGTGTGTTTCTCTTCTGAAATAGGTTTCATACACCAGCACTTGCATCTTGGTGGACTCTTGTGCTTTCTCCTTGTCCACTATTGTTTCTATATCTTAATCTTTGTCGATTGTACTTTTTTTTTCTTTCTTATAATGAAGTTGTGTCTTACTCAAAGCTTAATCTTTGACAAGTTGAATATAACGCTAAAAAGAACTACCTCCCGCTCTTCCAAATCAAGAGAATCGTTGGGTAGAGAAAATAATGTTTGCATCAGCATATTAGTACCTTTTCTGGTACACTTTTCTAACCTATACATAACTAATGCTTATATACATTCTATTGTGCATTGAAAAAAATGTATTATTAATTATCATATATTTCTATGCATTAGTTAATGCAATGAGTTCTAATTAACATTATTAAAGATACAATTTTCTTTAAAAAAACATCCTTTTCACTATATTAATTTTATCTAAAAAAAATTATGTAATACAACAATAATTTTTAGAACATTAAACCAAACATTGCATAAAAAGATCTTATCATAATTGATGCAGACATAATTAATACACTATATTTCCCCTTTATTCTTATAAAGACACCGAACGATCCCTACCTCAATAATTTAGTCCACATTTCAGTTAAAGATCAACAAGTCATTCTAATCACCTAACTGGTGCTGCAAGCCTTTTCTTTTAGGTACCTTCTTCTGATGCAATATAAGTGGGAAAACATTAGTTTAACTAATTACCACCTTTACCATGACAACCATAAATATTACTTTTATACAGCTGAATAGAACATAACAAGTTGAAATAATAGGCACCCTAACACTAACATTTGAAGAGAGAATGCGTAGGGAGCAACTATGGTCGCCCCTTTCACATTTGCAAAAATTTAAGATAGCAAAACAAGCAAATTTCTCAATTATTGCTTCGAGGCTTTTACCGTCTTGCTGCTCAAAATAGGAAACATCCGTCAAGAATTGAAGTGTATAATTTCCAATAAAACAGAGTCTTTGGACCACTTAGTCACGACCAATCAATCCTAAGGCATATACTGCAAGTTAACTAGGCAGACTTCCATACAAGAACGCAATAAGCAATTAGGCAAAGTACAGATTCTATTGTCACATAAAACGTTGTAACAAAATGAGCCAATGAATACTACTCTTAGAATGCAGTAAAAACAAAACATATCATGTCCAGATGGTGGAGCTGAGTAGAAGAAACAAAAACTACTGGGGTTAAGGGCTTCATAATAATCAAAACAAAACACCGGCATCCTATAGATTTAGTCGACTTCTTCCATCTTGCTGCCCTCGGCATCAGCTTCAGGATCCTCCAATGCTGGCATGTCAGCTTCAGCATCTCCACCATCCTCATCGATACTCAGACCAAGCTTCAGCATCCTGTGAATTCTGTTGCCAAATGTGTTTGGCTCATCAAGGCTAAAACCTGAAGTGAGAAGAGCAGTCTCAAACAACAATAGAACCAAATCCTTGACGGACTTGTCATTCTTATCAGCATCAGCTCTCTTCCTGAGCTCATCCATGATGGCATTCTCAGGATTGATCTCCATGGTCTTCTTGCTAGACATGTATCCAGCCATGCTAGAGTCCCTGAGAGCTTGTGCCTTCATGATTCTCTCCATGTTGGCAGTCCAACCATACTCTCCAGTAACCAAGCAGCAAGGAGAATCCACTACACGGTCAGAGACCACCACTTTCTCAACCTTGTCACCTAGAACATCCTTAATCACCTTGCAAAGACCCTCAAACTTCTCCTTTAGTTCTTCTTGCTTTTTCTTCTCATCTTCAGTCTCCTCAAGCTTGAGGCCTTCCTTGGTAGCAGAAACAAGCTTCTTACCCTCAAATTCCTTCAATTGACCAATTGAATACTCATCAATAGCATCAACCATGTAAAGAACCTCATAACCCTTCTTCTTCAGCTTCTCAAGGAAGGGTGAGTTCTCAACAGCCTTCTTGCTCTCACCAGTAATGTAGTAAATATCATTCTGGCCTTCTTTCATCCTGGTTACATAGTCCTTCAAGCTGGTCATCTCATCACCACTTTTTGTGGAGTGATATCTCAGCAGTTCAGCAAACTTAGACCTGTTCTGTGAATCCTCATGGATACCAAGCTTGAGGTTCTTTGAGAAGGCCTCATAGAACTTGTTATAGTCTTCTTTGTTTTCAGCAATTTCAAAGAATAGCTCAATGCACTTCTTCACCAAGTTTTTGCGAATAACCTTCAGGATCTTATTCTGCTGCAACATCTCTCTAGAGATGTTGAGGGGAAGATCTTCAGAATCCACAATACCCTTCACAAAGCTCAAATATTCAGGAATCAATTCCTCACAGTTATCCATGATGAACACACGGCGAACATAGAGCTTGATATTGTTGGGCTTCTTCTTGGTGTCAAAGAGGTCAAAAGGAGCTCTCTTTGGAATAAAAAGAACAGCCTTAAACTCAAGCTGACCTTCAACAGAGAAGTGCTTGACAGCCAAATGCTCTTCCCAATCATTTGTCAGGCTCTTGTAGAATGCAGCATACTCCTCTTTTGTGATCTCCTCGGGCTTCCTCATCCATATGGGCTTCTGCTTATTAACCAATGACCACTCATTAGAGACTTCCTTAATTTTCTTCTTTTTCTTCTCTTCCTTCTCCTTTTCTTCATCAACCTCCTCTACCTTTCCTTCCTCATCTTTCTTCTCCTCTTCGTCCTCATCATCCGAGATTTCCTTTTCTATGGTCTTCTCAACCCACAAAGAGATTGGATAGCTGATGAACTCAGAATGCTTCTTAATAAGGTCCTTGAGCCTTCGCTCCTCAAGGTATTCAAGCTGGTCCTCCTTGAGGAAGAGGGTCATTTTGGTACCCCTGCCAAGGTTCTCACCAGATGTATCTCTCGTAACAGTGAATGAACCACCAGCTTGTGATTCCCAAACATATTGTTCATCATCATTGTGCTTTGTGGTCACAACCACCCTCTCAGCAACCAAATAAGCAGAATAGAAACCAACACCAAATTGCCCGATCATGCTAACATCAGCACCAGCAGCAATGGCCTCCATAAATTCCTTGGTGCCAGACCTAGCAATTGTACCAAGGTTGTTCACCAGATCTGCAAACGTAACAAACAAGATTAGTATTTTTTGCAAGTCAAATTATAGAGGATGAGTATCACATAAAAGCACAAAAGCTTCCACATGGGTATGCTAACTTACCAGCCTTTGTCATACCAACACCACTGTCAATGATTGTGAGGGTATTGTTGGTCTTGTCAGGGACGATGTGAATGAAAAGTTCAGGTTGAGCATCTAGCTTGCTCTTGTCAGTCAAACTCTGGAAACGGATCTTGTCCAGTGCCTGCAATTTATACACAAATAGTTATTAAATACTTCATTACCGGAAATATCTGATGATAATACAATGACATAAAGACACTCTATATTGCTCACTCTCTCCTCCAAAAATACACTACTGTCAAAGGATCAAGCAACATAGAAGACAACCACAACTTGTTACAATTATTAAGGAATCATCAAGACAAATCATAATTTGACTGATTTGGATATCATACAAGAATTTACTAACAGATATCATTAACCAAATGACAGAAATGGATCATTTTAAAATTGAACACATTAACAATTCTGGGTTACTATATAGAACAATAACCGTCATTCCAAAACCCCAATACTACTAGGTATTGGCTTAACTTTTTTTCTCAAAAACTCTGAACAGAACCTGGAACAACAAAAGTGCTTCGCTAATCTCAAAACTCTCCTATTCTCAAAACTAACCAAAGCTGCATCAAATCGTATTATATACATTTGTTCATAATCAACTACATAAAAATAACATTTCTCCAGTATTTTGCATAATCATCCACCAATCCATATATTTACAAAACAAATATATACATACATAAAAAAAAACGCACATCTACAGGCAACAACAACATCGAGAATATCAGAACAATCATTATGATACATCCAGCATCTATTCCATAACAAACCAAAAGCATGAAATCATATATCAAATAACGAAACAGTACGTCAGGCTACAACCACTAAACTCATCATACATCTGAAATGACAATCAAACCACACCTAGGCATGAACATGAACATTACAGACATATTTAGTTCATTTAGGACATAAAACAAAATAATCGAAAATCATAAGAAAACACTCACATCAGAAGAGTTACTAATGAGTTCCCTGAGAAAGATCTCTTTGTTACTATAAAAAGTATTGATGATGAGACTCAGAAGCTGGTTGATCTCAGCTTGAAATGCAAACGTCTCTGCCTCCGCCATTTTTGTGTGATCTACAAAGAGTGAAATGAAAGTGAAGAGATGGAGATGGAGATGGAAGTTAGAGAGGAGAGTATAGCGAGTTTATATAATAGGGTTTGTTAGGGTTTCTAGATCCTTCTATTTGGCTTTTTTTTAGCATGATTTCCTCTCCTTCAAGTTTTCAAAATATTTTTTCCACAAGGGGCCGGCTTTTTCTTTTATCAATTCACATGTTGTGGACCACTCATTTTATTTCTTTCCTTCTATATGGGAAAGTCGAAATTGCCCCTTTACTATTCGACCACAACAGAGGGGCATTTTTGTCCTTGTAAAATATTGGGTCGGTTTAAGCTCTCGTGGTGATGAAAGCGGGTCATTTATGTTTTTAACGAGTCGGTTTAGCAGAGAGTATTAATAGAAATAGATCCATATACTATTATTATTTATAATTATATATTATATATATATACCTTAATAATATCATTACTGTATATGTTGATTTAAGTATCAATTAGGAGAAATTATTAGACTTAATGATACCAACATAGTATATGTTATTGATTTAGCATATGTTAATAAAAAATTATCAGTCTTAATGAATGAAGGATATGAATTGTAATTTTTTTCTTAGAGAATGAGTATTTCTTGAATTATTTTGGATTGGGTATGAACATGTAATTATTTGGAGTTTTCCATTAAAATATGTAAAGACAAAAATACTCATCAAATCTTTTTAATCATTTTAGTTATTTTCTTGATTTCATGTTTTAGATTTGCATTAATAAATTTCTTTGAATAAATTAACTTAAAAATTTCATTATTTGGAGAAAGTTGTTTGTTGCTAAATAAATCCAATGCAAATTAATACAATATTTGAAACGTGAGTTGTTTAACATTAACTAATTATTTGTATTTTGAATAATTTATAAAATTGCATACATATTAAAATTATAAGTTACCATTTTTATCTATAAATGTAAATGGTTTATTCAATTGTACTATCGTTTACCGTCTTTTTTATTTTAAATTTATATGATCTATTTTTTAAAAAATTGAAAATTGATGTTTTATGACTGAATAAATTATCAAATGACAATTATTTACCTTCAAATAATTCAAGTGAGAAAATAAGAAACATGTCGACAAAATTATTCTTCTCTAGCTAGTTATAATAATAATAATAATAATAATAATATTGTGCCACAATTATATATCTTGACCCAATTATAGAAAACTGAAAATCCATAATAATTCGAGGGTATAACCGAAAAGAAGCTTTTTCAGGAGTTTAAAACAAATATAAGATTAAATGGGAACAAATAAATCAAACACCAGATAAAAATAAATTGTACATTACTAATTCATGCGTTATTAATCTTTGTACCAAACAACCCCTAATTTTTTATGGCAGAATAATTGTTCCTTCAAGTTTTAACTCATATTACTCCAGCACCAACAACCGAAAACCAGAACAAGTTCAATAATCTAGTCTCATAAAGATTTATTTTTGACAGATTCAATTGATCGTATCTACAGCTGTCAAAATGGGCTAACCCAACCCAATCCTAACGGGCTAAAGATTTAAATGGGTAGGGACTGATTGTCCCTTTTAATTAAAGAGTCTATAAAATAGCAGCGCAACCTAGCTCATTTGGGACGGTGTGGTCCTTCAACCTAAAAAAAGGACAAATCGCCCTCTCTAAAAAAAATACAAACGTTGATATCTGATGAACACGACATCAATACATATAGAAATTTGATGAATTACACATACTTCAGTGAATATGTACAAAACAAAAATATAATAGTCAAGATACAACTTTCATGAGATTCATTTGAACAAAAAACATTACATGATCACTATTTTCATAAACAAGACAATAAAAGAGAAGTGGAAAATTAAACATAAAAATAAAAGTAGAACAGGTCAAAGATTCATAGTTATAATGGAGTAATGAGGTTGGGATATTATCAAAATTTAGTGGGCTAATGACCTTAAAATGTAAAAGATATGTAAAGCAGTGAGATTTAATTTGAGGGAAAATTTTCAAAATAGTAATATTTTATCATTTAATAGGGCCACTTATCAACACTTTCAATATTTATTTAAAATGTCAATATTTTAATTTGTTATAATGTTGATTGTATTTATTTAATTTGAAAGAATACAAACTTTTAATAACATAATGGAGAAATCATGGGAGAAAATATTTCAAAAAAAGGTAAAAAATTTTCCCTTAATTTTTTATCCTTACTTATTTTAACTTTTTTAAATATAATTTTATCTGAAATGTATTCGGTTGAACTTCTTTAAATATGATTTTGTGTATTCGGATGAATTTCATTAAATATGATTTTGTGTATTCGAAATTTTGGATGAATTTTTTTTACAAATTGAGCACGACAAATACTTATTTCAATTGAAAATTAGACCATACAATTCAAAAGTTAATTGTATACCATTAGGACGAATACAAATTCAAATCTGAATACAAACTAACCGATATACAAAGTGATATTGAAAATACAAAAGACAAAATGGTCTGGTGGACCCTTGTACTTGTATCCGTCTATATTATGAACCCTTTTACTTATGTCTTTGTCATCTGAACCCCTGAACACATTTAAACTCAACCAGTTGAACTCTTTCAACTGATCGTGACTCTCAATAGCGATGATGTCACATTCAATGTCAGATAAATTTGGCCATATCATCTAGTATTTTTATAATAATTTCTTTTTGGACAAAAAATCATAAAGTTTTGATGCAAATTTTACAAAATAAAATTTTAATTTATTCTTTGAAATTAAAGTTTTGGATCTCCCTACATCATTTGCCATTTTCACCGTGAAATGACTCAATCGCCGGAGAAAGTTGTCGTTGCCACCACCCCTCTCGCCGGCGAGACCACAAATACTCTTTCCCTCATCTATCTCCATCTTTGTCGCACACTTTCACCATTTGTCTTACTTTCTTCTTCTCCAACCTCCCCAAATCAAAAAATTGTTAGTCGCCGCACCAACTCCTTGTCCCTCTCCGTTGTCTCCATTTTTCCATACTATTGACGACTATTCTGAACCACTAGGGACCCTATATGTTATCTATCTTCTACGGCGTATTAGAAGGCCAGAAGTTCATCATTGCCTTCGATTTATCAGCATGCTCCTCACCACCTGTGATGTACCAGATACCTAAAGAAGATGAAAGAAAGAAAAAAAAGAGGATTGGACAAAAATGGAGATGACTAGAAAAAGATGAAAGAAAAAAAAGGGTTGGACAAAAATGGAAATGGCTAAAAAAAGTGGGTTGTTCGGGGAAGAAGAAAGATTATTTTTTTTAAAGTTTATTATTTTACTCTTTTCATTTAAATATTTTTAAAATTTAAATATGATGTTCACTTGCCCTAGTAGGCGTGTGGTCTCACTCTCTTGCTAACTGAATAATATTAATGCCACATAAGCATGGTCAATGGTTAGAGGGGTTAGATATATTAGGTTTTATCAAGTGTAGGGGTCGAGATAACAAATGGGTAAATAGAAAAAATTCACAATACAAATGGACACAAATATAGGGGTTCATTAGATCATTTTGAGTCAAATAAAATACAAAAAAATCTATTTTACTAATAATGCAATTAGTATGAATACTTATATAATGAATACGTAAATAAATTGTATTTTGATTATTTAGAATTGAAAATGAATACAACATCAAGTCTAAATATAAACTATCGACTATACAAAGGATATTGAAAATACAAAATGAGCGAAATAAAATACAAAATTTGTTTCACTGATGCAATTAGGTTCAATGCATATCTAACATACCAAATATAAATATAAAATTTGGTGGTATTTCATTAGGATGAATACGAAATCATATCTAAATACAAGCTATATGGTATACAAAGTGATATTGTAAATACACAATAAGCGAAATAAAATAAAAAGTTTGTTTTACATATGCAATTAGGATGAATACCTAAATAATGAATACTTATTTTGATTATTTAAACTTGATAATGATGGACAATTAAGAATTTTGACTAGACAATTGATTTATCAAGTTCCATGGATTCAAGAAGAGTCTTTTCTGAACCATCCATAGAGCGACGACATAGATCTAGATCCCAACAAAGAAACCGTGTGAACCCAATGAGTAGAGAAGTCGTGGAGCATGTCTTACTCTTGATCAGACGTAAGAGAGAGCAATCAAATATTATACCCTACTTTACTCAAAAAATTGCCAGATGTTGAAATCGTACAAGTCCAAGAAATTTCTTAAAGAAGTGTAGGAGATAACAACAGTGGAAACAATAGAGAATGTGGAGAGATTTGGGATAAAAAACTAAAGAGAGTATTAGAACGTGGGTTCTTTTTTATTTTACTTTTAATTGATAGTAGAGTCAAACTAGGTAACTGATGAGAAATAAAATGATAGTAAATTAATTATATTAGGATACATTATATTTGTCAAAATAATGACATTTTTAACAATTATTTTATAATGTAGAAGTTTTAGCTAATTATAGAAATTTTGACTACTTAACTAATTTTTCCTTGATTTTATATTGATACTTTAATAACACTACTTTAACTATATATAATAAATATTTTCAAAATCCAAGCTCACGAACTATCTCTGAGGTTTGCAGGTTGGACCTACGAGGCTAGCGGACTAAATGAGGCTAGCTAAAATATCTCGTTCTTAAATGGATTGAAAAAGTTAAACCAGATTCCGTTTAATTTAAGAGTTGGTTGGGCCGGCCTTGCAGGCCAAACTCATTTTGACAGCTCTAATCGTGACGTATAAGTTAAACTATTTCAGCTCCTTGGAAGATTCAAATCCAATTTCAAATTATTTTTAGATCTGCCAGTGAACTAAAGTTGATTCAGAATCAAGGACACTAGAGAATTAGTGGAATAATTTGGCATTTAGGGGTAGAGTTATAGGAATTAAGTGATTTTCTCAGTTTTTCGTGTGTGTTAGTCCATAAATATTTTAGTTGTATGAATTTTAG